GCGACAATATTAAAGCGGTTCTTAATTGGTCTTTAATAATTTCTCGTCTTCATTCATATACTGTATGTATACTGTATATACATCAAGCGAACACACAGACACATTATAGACGATAAGGTAACGAATATACGTAGATTTACACGTGTATACACACGTATCACGTGTACATATATGCGTACCTGATATGCTGATTCTTGAAGTAATGACAATGCTTCATCAGTACGTATCAACATGTACTGTACATAATAGGTAGAAATATGGAAGACATACATTACAGTATAGTACGTTTTATTTTATTTTTTCTTCTGCTTGTCCTCGTGTTATAACTTTTTCCTTCAGCTCAATTTTTAAAATATTTTTTTATAGGTAAGAAGGCTTCAAACAAAATTTCTTGGGACATTAATTCAAAAAGAAAAATTTATGAAATTAATAAACTCAGCTGAAATGGCGGCTGAACCTTCGGGTTCAGACCCCTCACAAGGAAGCATATATTGATTTCAACTTAAGTTAAACCACTTCACTTAACTTCATCTTCTCTTCCACTTTTTTACCAAACTCACTCTTGTTCCACTTAGGGTTTCTTTTGGATCTTTTGTTTTTAGGGTTTTGGGGAATATGGGGGAGATAAGTGACGACGGAAATCAGAAAATGGAGGACGTATTGCTGCCGGGATTTAGGTTTCATCCCACCGACGAAGAGCTCGTAAGCTTCTACCTGAAGCGGAAGGTTCAACACAATCCTCTCTCCATTGAGCTCATAAGACAACTCGATATCTACAAATACGACCCCTGGGATCTTCCAAGTATATATGACTTTTCATAACATCATATCTCATATTCGTTGGTTACATATAAGAAAACGATGTCTAAATAATAAATATGTGTGTTATTTTTGTTGTTGTTAATCAATATTGTAGAGTTTGCGACAACGGGTGAAAAGGAATGGTACTTTTACTGTCCGAGGGACAGGAAGTATAGGAACAGCTCGAGGCCGAACCGAGTGACTGGAGCCGGTTTCTGGAAAGCCACGGGAACGGACAGGCCGATATACTCGTCGGAAGGAAACAAATGCATAGGTTTAAAGAAGTCATTAGTGTTCTACAAAGGAAGAGCTGCGAAAGGAGTTAAGACTGATTGGATGATGCATGAGTTTCGTTTGCCTTCTCTCTCGGATCCATCTCCATCTTCTAAGAGGTTCTTCGATTCTCCTGTCTCTCCAAACGTAAGCTTACTTTGACTTTTCCTTTTTTATTTTATTTTCAAGCTCTCACTAAGCTCACAGTGACTTGATCTAATTATATGCTCACGTTAACTCAAAAATTCGTGTAGATTTAAGTTATTTGTAAGAGAAATATGATTGAAAGCTATGCGAACGACTACGTACTATATTTATTAATTAAAATCGAAAGATTTGGTTAGAAGTCTTCTGAGAATATTTTTTTGATGTGTAAATAATATATATCTTGAATTTGGTGCATTTTATCTATCTGTAACATTTTCTTTCTTTTAAAATATCTATCTATTACATTGAGAAGAAAATAAAGTTTTTAAGATTGTTTTACTAACAAATACGTACGAGAGATTATATAGATTTATATTTTAGCGACTAGTCATTTTTCTTCGTTTTTCCCTGTGATTTTAAGCTTAGATCTGAAATTATTGTGTTTTTCCGTCTCTACTATTTTTGTTCTTAATATTAACAATAAGTGTTTTTATGGAATATTTCTTAAAATTTCGATTAAATATTTGTTATAGACTATGCAACTAAATATTTGTTACTAATCCAAAATGCTATGGATCATTGCAGGATTCATGGGCTATATGCAGAATCTTCAAAAAGATAAACACAACGACGAACCTAAGAGCTCTCTCACACTCCTTTGTTTCCTCGTTACCATCAGAGACAAGCATCGACACAATGTCCGACGAAAAGCCATCAAACACATCCCACTTTTCTTCAGACAAGATTCTCAAAACTAGCTCCCACTTCCAGTTTCACCATGAGAATATGAACAGTATTCCCAAAACTAGTACTACTCCAACCCCTCCTGTTGCCACTATAAGTCCCTTCTCTTACTTGGGTTTCACTTCCTACGAGAAACCCACCAACGTTTTCAATCCGGTTTCATGTTTAGACCAACAATACCTCACAAATCTCTTTCTTGCCACACAAGAAACACAGCCTCAGTTTGCAAGGCACGCTTCGTCCAATGAATTCCCCTCGTTTCTCATAAACTTGTCACAATCAGAATCGGCCTTCTTGGGAGAATGCACAAGCCAGATCGACCTCAGCGCGGTACTGGCCCAAGAGCAGTGTCCTGCTCTTGTAAGCCTACCACAAGAGTATCAAGAGAAGGGACTCCAAGGAGATGGGGAAATGAAGAACATGCGTGGTTCCAATGAAGACCATCATAGTCACTGTGCCACACTTCGGTTTGGTGAAATTGCTTCAACAGTAGTTGAAGCGAACCATCCTCATCATTATCAAGACGTGAAACATAACATGACATTGCTGGAGAGTTATTATTCCTCTTTGTCGTCCATTAATGGCGATTTGCCATCTTGTTTCTCCACCACTTGATGGATGTGGATTAGATTTTGCGTCTTTGCCTAATTGCCTTCGTGGCTTGGCTTTTTTTCTTAATTGTAGGCTTCTCTTTCACTAATGCAAGAAAATTAAACTCTTATCGATTTCATATTGCACCGTTAGGAAAAAATTTATTATCGTCATGCTCTTCGACCCGGGCTTATCTCTCCATACTGAATGATGTTCTAGTTTAATCTATGCAGCAGCGATGGCACTACATAATTTTATCCGTCGATCAATCTTACACAATATTGATCTCGAAACAGAGCATAAAGAAGAAGGTAGTCAAAAGAGAACGTAAAATGATGCATAAGAGGAATTTGATTTAACGTCTTTGACTGCGTTTTAAGTTGATTTTTTTCGTTCTGAATTTTCGGTTGTAAATTTAAGGAGAAAAAGGACACATTTATAACACTTTCACCATTTAGTCTTGCAAAAATGTATTATCATAATAAGTAACAGACAAAAGACAGAGAAAAAGATGTATCCATTGGAGACCAAAATCCCAAAACAAAGAGGAAAAAAAAAAGAGATAAACGCTTAAGCCTTGGTAGCTACTTTCTCCTTAGCCTTTTGGAGTTTCAAAACTTTCTTCACGATCTTCTGCTCTTCCACAAGGAATGCTCTTACGATCCTGTGAGAATCCAAAAACCACACAACTTGAGTTTTGAAAATCTCAAAAGTTATGTAAAAGAAAGAGATGACTTTCAAAAATTTGGACATCAGAACAAACCTCTCCCTGACTGCAGAAGCAGACAAGACTCCACCATAAGCACGGTTCACGGTCCTCCTGTTTCTCGATAGTCTCGACCTCTTGTATTCAGAGGGTCTCAAGTGAGGGATCTGAATAAACAGATATTGTCATTCACCAAAATGTATTTAAACCATCAAAATCATACAAATCTTTGGAAAAAAAATTGAAAATTTATGCCACAGGTGGATAGCAATCCCTTATGTAATCAAAAAAGGGAGAACTTGAAAGACAAAGTGGCACAGACAATGTAGCTTATGATTTATGTTATGTACTGATGGAGGTTTAATCTAACCAGCACAAGACCGTCAATAAGCACGATACAATCAATAAGCTAATACATAGACTGATCAATGATCAAACATTCAATCTGATTGATTAATTGATTCATATAACACACTTCAAATATCCAATTCTATGATCAAGTTGATTGCTAAGTTATATAAATCCATTGGATTCCTCCAAAACCAGATCGATACAGCTAAGAACAATCTCACTCCTAACTCTTATCTAAAACCCTAAATCTAGATTCTACACACGAGAACAAAGCAGATAAATCAAAGTACAGAGCAGAATCTGAAATCAAAAGACTTACACCCTGGATTCTCTTGCCGGTAACAGGGCATTTGGGGCCACTGGCTCTCTTCTTTGTGGTTTGATACACCAATTTACCTCCTGCAAAGCGATAATCACCACATTCATATTAACACTGTAAATAGATCGATCCGGTGATTGTTAAACACATTCTGATACAAAGAAGATGAAATCGACACGGTGGAGTGAGGGAAGAAGGAGAACCTGGAGTCTTGACGATCCGGTGCTGGTTCGATTTGGTGGCGTAGCTGTGTCGCGACCGGTATACAAGACGCTGCACCATTTTCGCCTCTTTTTCTCTTTAGGGTTTTCCTCTGGAGACTCAGAATATAAGTGGTGTGTGACTCCAAAAGCCTAACCTAGATTCAACCTTATGGGCTTTTGATCTTTGATTATCATCACTATTCTCAAATTACAGGCCCAGAAAATAATTACTTCTTTTTTTATCTGCTGTATCTAAATTACATAATTACATGTGACGCAAACTGATTGAAGGAGGAAAGAGAAATTTTCTACCCACTACAACAATATTGCAATAGTTTATTAAGAACCCTGGCGGTAAAAAAAAAAACAATATTGCAATTTAGCACACTATCATGACATGAATAAAACCACTGGCGGTAAAATGTTATCGCAAGATGTTTACAATATTTGAAAATAAAAAATAAGACCATCACCAATTAAACTTGTGAGTGGTCACAAATAAGTGCAGTGGCCAATTCGCGGCTATATCAGTGAACTTCTAATTAGCCATACAAAAGTGGCCACTAGTAGTCAGTTTAGCCACAAAATTGTAACTATCGACACACTTTAATGTATTAGAGGACACTCTTAAGCTAAGTAATAATTGTGGGAACACTGAATATTCAATTTAGAATTTCTGAGTGAAGACATCATATTTTCTAAAGAACATCAGAAATAAAATTCTGAGAGCTGTTTTAAAAGAGAAAAAAAAGAACCAAGTCTATCATATCATATCATTTGTCCAATAAAAAATGAAAGTTTGAAAGTGATATCCCAAAACAAAAAGAGCAACTGCAAAACTTAACGAATCCAAATCCACAAGTCATCATTGTGCACCAAGTGACAAGAACGCACTTCCAGGCTGACGCCTAGCCAACGGACCATGGCAAGACAGAAACTTGGCGTTCACACCATCAGGAACAATCCTCTTCTCTTGTCTTAGCTTAGTGTAATCCGCACGGTTAAACTTGGTGAATCCCCTGAAAAGAAATTCCAAAACTCAAACAATCAACAAGAAAGCCTTATTGTGCAAAAACTACATAAAGAAGCTAATCACTGTCTCTCAACACAATCACATACCATTTCCTGCTAACAATAATCTTTTGACGGCCAGGGAACTTGAACTTAGCACGTCGAAGCGCCTCCTGAGCATGATGGCCGTGATTGTCTTTGCAACGAACAGAGAGCAGAACCTGACCAATGGCGACTCTAGCACAAGTACCAAGAGCCTTACCAAAGGCACCTCTCATACCGGTCTGAAGCCTATCAGCTCCGGCGCAGGAAAGCATCTTGTTGATCCTCAGGACATGGAAAGGGTGAACCCTAATACGGAGATGGAACGCGTCTTTTCCCGCGGATTTGACCATGTACTTGTTGCAAGCGATACGCGCGGCTTCAAGAGCTTCGCTCGAAACGTTCTCTTTCTCCCACGAAACCAAGTGGACACAGTAAGGGAACTCGTCGACTCCTTTCTTCTTCATACCAACATCGTAAATCCGGATCTTGGGATCGGGAACTCCACGGCAGTATCTGGATTTAGGGTATGGCTTTCCCTTTATCTGACGGTAACATCTCGCAGGTCCTACAGAATCACACATACATATATAAACATTTTCAATACTAAGCTCAATCATTTCTGAATCGAAAATCCAATCTGCGATTCGAGTGATTACTCAACCAAATTCTGACTCTGACATCTCACAGATTCTACAAATTCACATATATATTACATCTTCAATGATAAAGCTCCATGATTTCTGATTCTGAGATCCTTAAAATCTAAAATTCCGAGCTTAGAAAGGTCTAATTTGAGATTCGTGTAACGAGTCAACTCAATTCTAAAACACTAACCATTGCAAAGACGATATGCAGATTAAAAATCTATCTTTCTATAGAAAAATCCATTATATTCATAGAAATTCAGAAGCTAGATCAGACAAAGAGAAGCAATGTACTTACTTCGCCCCATCGCGTTCGATGATCTCCTCTGTTAGTGTATGCAACCTTTAGAAATGAAGAAGATGACGGCGTGACGTTTTAATCTTATAAGGAACGATTGAAGAACCCTAATTCTCTACGTCACGTAACTGGATTTGAACACAAAAAGAAAACGGGCCCACTAGAGAATTAAAGCCCAATTTGACTTCTTAATCAAAAAGAGAACCGTGTGTTTGATTATTCCGGTAAGCCGGCGTTTACGGATGACATCGGCGATTACGTCACGCCTCAGTCGCAATTTCGTGTTTCGTCGTAAGAATCTCGACACAACAACAACACACGTTGGTTCGTTGTTATCTCCGCGATTCCAGAAACTTATCGAAGACCTACGATCCTGCAGAGACACTGTCGAAGTTTCCCGAATCCATGGCTACATGGTGAAAACAGGGATCGACAAGGACGATTTCGCAGTGAGCAAGCTCATTGCTTTCTCTATACAAGATATCCGATACGGCTCTTCGATCTTCCAACATGTCTCCAACACTAATCTCTACATGTTCAACGCAATGCTCAGAGGTTACTCGATGAGCGACGAGCCAGAGCGAGCGTTTCCTGTCTTCAACCAACTGAGAGCTAAAGGTTTCACCTTGGATCGCTTCTCATTCATCACGACTCTAAAATCATGTACTCGTGAATTGTGCAGAGAAATCGGCGAGGGGGTACACGGGATCGTGTTGAGATCTGGGTTCATGTCATTTACCGATTTGAGGAACGCTCTTCTCCATTTCTACTGTGTTTGTGGGAGGATCAGTGATGCTCGGAAAGTGTTCGACGAAATGCCGCAGAGAATTGATGCTGTTTCGTTTAGTACTTTGATGAATGGGTATCTTCAGGTTTCGAAGCCTGCGTTGGCTCTGGAATTGATCAAGGATATGTTGAAAAGTGAGGTGGTTGTTAATGTTAGTACGCTGCTTAGCTTTCTTTCGGCTACTGGTGATCTAGGAGACTTGTCAGGAGCAGAATCGGCTTATGGGTTTTGTATCAAGACTGGCCTTGATCTAGAGTTGCATTTGATCACAGCTTTGATAGGTATGTTCGCCAAAATTGGGGACAGGAGCTCAGCACGCAAGATCTTTGATTCTGCTGCTCGAAAGGACGTTGTTACATGGAACTGTATGATTGACCAATATGCCAAAATGGGTCTACTTGAAGAGTGTTTATGGCTACTGAGGCAGATGAAGTACGAAAAAGTGAAACCGAATTCATCCACATTTGTTGGGCTGTTGTCTTCTTGTGCGAGCTACGAAGCTTCATCCATAGGACAGAGCGTTGGGGACTTGGTGGAAGAGGAGAGAATAGCTTTGGATGCGATACTCGGAACCGCGCTCATTGATATGTATGCAAAGCTAGGGATGCTTGACAAAGCTGTTGAGATTTTCGATAGAATGAAGAACAAGGATGTGAAGTCATGGACCGCAATGATCTCTGGTTACGGAGCTCATGGACTTGTAAGAGAAGCAGTAACTCTATTCTATAAGATGGAGGAAGAGAACAGCAGTGTTAAACCCAATGAGATTACCTTCTTGGTTGTGCTGAATGCTTGTAGCCATGGAGGTTTTGTAATGGAAGGAATCAGATGCTTTAAGAGGATGTTTGAGGTATACCGCTTCACACCCAAAGTTGAACATTATGGTTGTGTGGTTGATCTGTTAGGTCGAGCAGGGAAGTTAGAGGAAGCATATGAATTGATAAAGAATTTGCCAATCACAAGCGATTCAACGGCTTGGCGTGCTTTGCTAGCTGCTTGTAGAGTCTATGGGAATGCAGATTTGGGGGAACGTGTGATGATTGAATTGGTTGAAATGGGTGAGAGACATCTTGCTGATGCAATTCTTCTGGCCGGAACACATGCTGTTGCAGGGAATTCACAAGGTCTAACAAAACTATTAGATTATGAGTTTTATAAAGAGAAAAAAGAAGTTGGATACAGCGCCATTGAAATAGAATAGAGTACGGAACAATCTACAGTATGTGCTTCATTCACCTCTGTTTTGAAATGATAATCATATCAGCAAATGTTTGTTCCTAATGCATCAATAAGGTTTTAAAACCATGTATAGTGCAGTGATGGATAGTGATGTATAATATATTTGACTTTGATGTTCAACACTTTTACCTCTTCACTCGAGATTGCTTCTCTGCTTGTCCTTGCGTTAAATTGTTTATGGCTACAAATAATCATTAAGGTATAAGTGAGCATGGGATTGTTCTGCTATGATCTTAAACGTTTAGATTCACTACTATTGCAACGTATTCAGAACAATGTCTAGTTGTTAAAAAATAATGGCTAGTTGTTAATCTACTGTGAAGATTGAATATGACATGTTTTTAACAGCAACAAACCAAATGTGGAGAATAATAGTATTTGATAATGTCGGGTTCGTGTGTGCATGTATTATATATAGACAGATCGCAAGCTTTTTCACGTGATAAGTCAAAACGAAAACGAAGATTTGATTTTGTGGTGTATATTATTTCATTTTCTTGTAAACGTTACTTTCTCATATCTATGTTTAAAGTCTTCATTTTGTGATTCAAGTTGAAAATTATATCCTAACAAATTTTGAAACTCTTTCTACATAAAGTAAAAAAAATTCTAACAAAAATATAGAGTTCTATCTTTGACGCAATATTAATATCAATCATCACAAACGTGATTCCACTATTTCCCCCCAAATACTTTCTTTGTTATTCTCTTTATCTTATTATTTTTTTGTAAAAAATACAATAGTTTATCTTCTGTGTAGATAAGCAGCGTACCTCCTCGTGCATCTTCTCGTCGTCGTTGATGACTGAAACTATGGTGAGAGATCATCATAAGTTCATAACTAAAATGAATAAACCACGTGTATGTGTAACCCTGCCTCAGAACCATGTTTTGGATTTTAGGACCATATGTTTTTACGTTTATGTCAAACTTGTTAATATTACATGCAACTCTAGAATCGTTAACGATAAGATGCATGCCTTAACTAGAATCAGCATCGGCCCAGAGAGTAGGCGGGTTAAGCCAGCGCTTAGGGTCAACAATATTTTAAAAAAAATTAGTCTAAGAAATGGGCCACAAATTTTGAAAAAATTTAAAACGGATCCTTTATCAACTTGTCAACAAGTCAGATAGAATTAAAGACTTGGAAATTATCTTTATATATAGAGAATATTATCAGATGGTCATACTGGTTTTATACGGTTAGAATATTGTATATGAGATTTAACCGTAGAAAACCAGTATCACCATCTGACCACAATTTCCTTGTATTGCGATAATCTCAAGCAACTCATTAATTAAACTGCAATCTTTGAATCCTTAATCAACTTGTCCACAAGTCGGATAGAATTAACGACTTGGATATTCTAAGATACTGCTTCAGAACTTTCAAGTGTTGGTCACATTTTAAACATTTACAAATATTGGGAACAATTTGTGACAACATTTTACGGGCCATGGTAGTGGGCTAAATTGCAAAATTGCTTTTTTAATGTTCAAGTTATAGGAGTATTTCTCTAGAACTTGCAATATTGTTGTAATAAATAAAACTAAGAAAAATATAATTGGAGATGGAGGATAGCGGACATGACATGATTCTTTGTCTTTGCTTGTCATTATGCTTTTTATTCATTTACACCCCAAAAAGAATATAAGAAAGAAAAAAAAAAGAGCATTTTCTATGTTTAATTAGATTCAACTTTAATCAATCGAACATAATCAGGCTGTCTTAATCATGACTTGTTGTTATCATCCTACTCTTTTGTATATATCAACTTGATATTCTTTTATTACGACACAACAATATCGGAAGAAAATTAAAAAATCTATAATCATTCGTGTTCAATTATATAGATCATAAAAATCTATGCATATACAACAAAATGTATGACATTATTCACTTTACCAACTTTAATATATATATTTTTGCTTATTATATTACATCATTTAAAAATGAGAATGTTAATCTGTATGATATCTAATTATTTGAAATAATTCGATTTTCTGAATAAGTTTGTATTCGTCATATACTTTAACAAAAAAATGATTTGAAGATGTCGTGTGAGTTTTCTAGCTGCCAAATGTTTACATCTAATGAAAATTGATCTCCGACATCTAATACTTGCTTAATTCTAACAACCATTTTGTTATTTAAATGAATAAATTAGAATTGGATTACTTTTATTGGTGGAAGTTGTCCAAGTGGGCTTGAATCGAAGCTTGTCGACGCCGCGATAAACAAAGCATATCAATTAGTAAACATAAGTATTCATTAGATCTCCTCAAGGGATATGACTAGCTAACGAATGAATTATCAATGTCACGAACAGGTGGAACATCGCATGAGTGGACCGACCACTTCAATAATTTAGATCGACGGTGGGCACTATAATAATGCATATATATTGCGATGTTACATGATAATGGCATATCATAACCAGCCCAACACTATGCACATGCCACCTCCCCACCATGGTAGACAAACGAATGGATTGATCTGGTCATAATTATCGAAAGTTTAGTTCCAATTGCGTTTTATATATATTTGTATTTTAGACATTTTAGTACTACTTTGTTGTAATATATACTCTTGGCATCAATTAACAGTGTGCCTATGAAAATTTGCACATATATGTTTTCGTTTTGAATTTGTTTCGTTTATTTCGCAGATGTGCTATTCATTTCGTTTTACCACCTTTGTTAATTTTACCCCAAATTTCTAGCTAATTAATAATGAAAAAAAAAATGCACGTGGCGTGGGAAATAGAAATGCGTAACCAAAAAAAATTGGGATGCGTAAAGTCTCTTTTCCTTATTAAACCAGATTCCGAAAGACTTTAGAAGTTGTGTTCATCAAATTGGCTAAGGAATCGAGTGATTTTTTTTCATTTCTGTTTTGGTATCTGATTCATTTTTTCCAAGTGATTGAAATATATCACTAGTCAATATATACGTAAAGTACTCAAAGTTGCAACAAAGAATAGAATCTCCTTTTTTTTGTCTACAATTTTCTCTATTTTATATTTCAGACCTAGCTACCTCAAATTATATTATAATAATAAATAACTATTGGCTGCTGAAACTGACAAAGTGAGATGTACATATACACAATCCCACAAGTGTACGGGTGCCAGTGAACATTTGTGCATACGTACATGCATGTGTCTACGTTCTTGGAAGTTTAAAATGTATCGCAGCTGAAAAATATTATTATATAAAAATCTTTTGGAATAAAATGTCAAATTTCGTAGATTGTGTTACATTTTCATATTTGTTTTTTTCACTTGATAAATAAAACGTTTAAAAAGGAAACCTAAGAGGACTCCACGTGATCTATTTAGTTTTCGATTTCCACTAGTATTATCTTTGACGAAGCTCGAAGACTTGGATGAAACAATATGTAAGCCAATTTCAATAATTTAATTTAAATAAGAAGAAACGTTAAGAAATCAAAAGCATTTATTTTTTTAAATTCTCCGTTTCTCATGTTGGGAACCGTAATTTTTTTTTTTTTTTATATATAACTTGGCGAGAGTCGAGAGATCATTATAAAAAGAAAATGGCAAGCAGGCCAAAAAAGTAAAGTAAAAAATGAAAAATAAAGATTTGAAGAAGTGCTTCGTAAGAACGAGAACAAAAAAAAACTTGTGTAACCCTGCCTCGAACCATGTATTGATCACCTCACCTCATTTCGTTTTTCTAAAAGTTTTGGATTTTAGGATTTTATTTTTTTGTTAAACTTGTTAATTTTCATCTCTATGCATACTCGAAACTCATCCCCTCTTTTGCCATTTGTCTTTTTTGTTAACTTGTAATTGTATATCCCATTCTATCTCATCGTAACCGCTACATTTCTATTTTTATATGTTTTTTCATGTGTATTTTGCTAGACGTGTATTTGATTGGTAACCTACCGTTTCAAAAAAAACCAATCAAAAACGTCTACTTGATTATGAACTACACAAATAACTGAAACGGCAAATTCTAATTATAAGTTTTTTCATATAATTAGTGTTTCCCTTTATTATGTAAGACGTAAATTGGCATTGATCCCTCGCGAAGTATATAAATGAAGGAAACATTAATGCTAACACCTAAAATGCTATACACATAAACGCAATATCTATACACGTACAAATTCAACCAGGGTATAACACAGGAAAATTGTTTACAAAAGGTTATTATGGTTCAAATTATAAATTGAATGTTCTCAGAATATACAGCGTGAGTAAAAAAAACTAAAATAGTATCACTAAAAATTGGTGAAATGATTCTTTGTTCTTAAGCTTCGGTGAGATGATTAATCAACTAATGAAAATTAATGAGAAGGTTCTATCAATGAATATGTTGGTGGCAGAGTGAGTTGTGATTAGTTTAACCAACGTATGGTCAAGTAAGCAATAAGAAGCCGTCTCTTTCCATGTGCAATCCAAAGACGTGAAACGTAAGCCGTCCGATTTTCCCTCGTAATCTACAAGCTCGTTTTGGAAAGGCTAATCCTACGGTGGATACAACACAAAGATATTGCCAAATCTCCATGACAACAACTAGTTTCTTTATATTTTGTCTCTCTCTCTTACAATATTATACAAGAAATAAAGATGAAAACGAAAATGGGAGCATCCTTAACCTCATTGGTATTCGAGTCCAAGAGCATACTTATTATCTTCTTTAGAATCTAGATATTTTCTGGACACGCAATTCATATATTCCGTAATTTATCTTACTTTATTGTATATTTTTAAACTAGATACAATTTTTTTTTGTAAAAAAATAATGATTTTATTGGCATCAATTCATGCGTTGTATAGCAACTATCAAAGCTTGCATGCGTGCCTCAGGATCCATAGTTTACTCTGCAAATCAGAAGTTAAAATATTGAGCAACAAATACTTTGAGATTTCTTTCCGGGTAATGGGAAAACTTGGAAAAGCATTCACATGTTTCTCCCTCCTGACATGCACGAAGCAATAGAAAATTTACTTTTTAAAATAATATTTGATACTAAATCACATCATTATTTAAATACTAAATAAATAACTATCTTGACCAAATAATCTCTCTATATATACATTTCAGACTCTCCATTTCGCTTATCACCTTCAAAATTTCTCTCTCTAACGATTTTAAAAGCTCCCCTCTCTCTCTCTCTCTCGTAAATAAAATGGCTGAAACAACTGCTGTATCGCCATTGAAGCGCCACCTAGAAGAAGAATACCTAGCCGAAGAAGAAACGACTAAACGGAAAAAGCTATCTCCTTCCTCTTACAACGACCAGATTCTCTGTCTCCTCGACGATTCAGACGAACTTAACCAACCCAACAACGACCTAACTTCCTTTATAAACGCTCTCCAGCAAGAAATCTCATCAGATGACCAAAACGCCGTCGTTTCCGGAGCCTCCAACCTCGAAGACTCGTCGGATTCTTGCGTTTCTTCCAAGGAAGACGAAGTCGATGATGAGAACAAGGAGAAAGTTATGCAGCATCTTCTGGAAGCTTCTGACGACGAACTCGGGATCCCTAACACTGAATTTGGCGGGTGTAGTTATGAATTCATTAAGGATGAGATTAATCAAGATTACGTCAATGGAAATAGTTTGTTAGATGGTTTCGGTGATGCGTTTTGGGAGCTTGAAGATGAAGCCGCTAATTATTACACGTTGCTACAGTCTGAGCTGTTCTTGTAGAGGGGAAAGAAAGTAAATGTGGAAGACCAACAATTTAAAAAAAGTGGGTCTGTTTTTTATATGGAAATTAATTTCATTTTTATAGACACACTTCTTTTGTTTTGGCGGAGCTAATAAAAATCATTTTAATTGATTGATTTTATTTGCAGTGGTACAATAGATAATATGCCTAGCTCTTAATTAGTTAATTGCTGCATAAAAATATAAATACTAACCCATGCATGGGGTTTTCGATTATATTTATTATTGTGTGAATAAGAAAAAGTGGCGTATTCGTGGAAGTAATATTGTATATAAGTTAAGGAATCCTTTTTTTTTGGGCAAATAAAGTTACGGAATCCTTAAATTTGATGAAAGAGTAAGAATCGCTTAAGAAATATGAAATCGCTTACCGTGAAAGAGGTCTCAGTTTACAGTGTATTGTCTGGTTAGAACTTTGAAGAATGGGTAATTTAAATAGATACACGGAAATTAGGTTAGGCATTAATAACCAAGCTTAGTCGTATGACACGCAACTAAACCATATCTTAAGAGTTTTGTTTGTTTGTCGATAATCATATCTTTAGTTTAGTAAGAGGAGTTTTATTATATTCACAAAGAAACTATATGAAGTTATTTATTTGGATATTTTCTCAATTCACGGTTCGTCCTATCTACCTAATTAGCTCTCCAATTCCATTCCACACAAAAATTGTGCTCTCACACAGCTCCAAGTTCTTGGCATGTTCTGCTACAGCTTCTTGTCTCAATGCAAACAATGTGTTAGCCAATCCTCACAAAATTCCATCAACACAGCTTAAGTTACGTCACCATTTATCGCCTTCGTTTTCGTGTAAAAGGATCGGTAGAAGAGTGGGAACCAAAAAATATATGCTTTCATAACTCAAATAAGTTGTTTCACAAGAAAACAAGCATTAAAAATGTTTCATTTTACAAGAAAAACATGCAAATTCGTTTTTAAACACATATATTAACGAGTTTACAGTATAGATCAAACTCTTTAACATTTTTCCATTAACATCTGGCACAAATATATTTATAGCCTAATAAAAACAGATGACAGGCCACTGAAAATGAGAAAGGCTCCATTTGTTGTAAGCTGGCTATTTGATTAATACACAAACACATTTACAATGTCCACGTCTGTTTGACAATGTCTATGATCAATTGCAACCACAAGTCTAAAATGTGTATCATAAAAAAAAAGTTGCAAATTTCAACCTACCTCGCGACATTTTAAATTCTTTAGAGTAAAAAAAGATTAAAATAATTCTTACAGTACCATTTATTTATATTGTTTTCCATAAATATCATACACCATAAACAAAGTTTTAATAAGATTTTTAAACGTTTAAGAAGGGTCTGAAAGTTTATACACACTTGTGAAATGTTCTTAAACTCTCAAATTCTAGAAATGTTTCTTGAACAGATCTGCTGTTTTTAGAAAAACAAACTAAAAGATTATACCTTTTAAATTCATCATAAGTATAACCAATATATTTTTTACAAGAAAATAGTATTGTATTATAACTATTAATCGTTGTAACTCTGAAATCATATTAGGTGATGATTGATTATTAGTGGGACATAACATTTTGATGGCAGCTGGATACCTCTACTGAATTCTACCTTTTAATAAGCATTTGACTGCAATCTAATTTTAAAATATAGGATGTTGGAATATTGGAAAATAAAACTTAAGTTAATGTAACAGAAACCGAATAGTAGAGCTTCGGCACGTCAAATTAAATCGATCAAGTAATGATGCGTTTGCATTATTAATATACAACAATAATGACGATGCTCGAGTGAGTGGACCAGCCGAACAATGTGTTAGTTATGCAAATAATTTCAATCTCATGTGACAATCGAATTATTTGAACCAAAAGTATAACGCATACATTATTAATTTGTTTGTCGAATAAATCATTATTCGAAGATAAATCATCCTAGGTGCTTCAATTTTTTTCTTACTTAATACTCCTATGTTTCAATTAAACAACGATTGTATAAATTATGGATTAACATCACTGATCTATTCACGCAAGGTTCTTCAAATATGATGACCACGTAAGTAAAACCTTATGTACATGATATATTTCAAAAAAAAGTATTTTAAGCCTGAAAAAAAAATATGTTTTTGTTGTTTCATTTAAGTATTTTTCACTTAAGGGAACTACAATAGTTTGACATGCGTTAATATCATTTGGTGGAATTTAACTATTCAATCATAATCAGCTTATGTGGTTAAGAAAAATGGATTATTAATGAGCTTATGATAACAAAGTTTACCAACTAGCTTGGAAGTTTCCTACACACTTGCAATCAGTGGCGGATCTATAGCATAAGATGGTGGGGCACGTGCCCCATACTGATTTTAAACAAGTTCATATGCCCTATACTGATTTTAAACAAGTTCGTATACCTTATTACAATTGTTGATTTGTTGGTTGAGTTGGCCATTGTTACACCGTTTTGTTTTTCAAGTGAAGAGTTCGGTGCTTATAGTCTATCGATCTTATATATTTATTATATATATGTATTTATTTGTTTTTTCTTTTATTTTTTTTGTATATTCCATTATTTTAGCCATCTTTTTTTTTTCACAATTTTTTATACTCTTTCTTTTGATTAGTTGACATTTTTCTTTCTTTCATATTTTTTATTAAATTTATTTCTTGTTTAGTTTATTTTTCATACATTATATATTCTAATAAATTAAATAAAAATAGATTTGGTTTCAGCTTATAAATTCTAAAACGTTTATATAAAGATTATTTTATTATAATATAAATTATTTCTTTTAATTTTTTTTCATATTTTTCATATATGTAGAAAGATTTAAAAATAAATAAAAATATAATTTTAAAATAATTTTAGTTTTCAAAACTCAAAATCAAAATACATTACATCTTTTTTATTTTTTACTTTTTACTTTACTAAGTTTTTATTTATGCCCCATACAAAAAATGTTTCTGGATCCGCCCTTGCTTACAATCATTTTCATTTATAAGTAACTTTGTTTGGGATTAGAGGAACCTACATATAAATAAAAAGTTGTAGTTTCATAATTATCAATTAATAATATAAATAGATTCTAGAATTTGTGTCTATTTCAAAACTGAGAACAGTTAAATAGAAAATATCCAAAATGGAAGGTCCAAACTTAAAGTTGAAAATGATTCATCACAAAACCGAACATTTAGAAAAAAAAAAATACGAAATACACACAAAACAATGCGAATTTCACTTTGAACGAGCTAAATAAGAAGAATAAACCAATTGAATCTACTTCATGAGAGAATATATATGCATATTGGTCAGACTTTATAAACAATATATCCAATGCTCCCTACCTCTCATCTAATGGCTGATATGTTCACAGAGATTGTTAACATTTTCATGTTGTTCATCTATGAATATGATTGTTTCTTTTATCACAGTTGCTAAATTTATGGATCTCAATTATAAGTCGACTCTGTGTGCAATCTGTAATTTAAGTGCATAACTGTTTTATATAATTTCTCTTTTCATAAAGCCTAATCCCGTGGAGTACCGTCATATTGCAAAACTATGGGTTCTAAGAGCGGTTTGGTTTTTGTGTTTTTATATTTTTTGTTTTCATAATCTATGAGTTATGATGGACCTTAAATCCATAGATTTTTAGGTTCGAGTCCAGAACAAAGTAAACTAGTTTCACTCTCATTGTTTGTTGGACTCAAATCAGAACATGATTATGTTCCCCTCTCCAAGAACTTTCATAGATCAACCGATAGAGCTATCAGTATCGGGTTCTTCTTCTTGTATTTGAAATAAAAATAAAATAAAAATAAGAAATTAACTTGTATTTGGTTAAAGTTAATTATGTAAACAATGTCAAGCTCCAAATTATGTATTTATTTATAGTTACGAATCTCGAAATGGTGTTTTACTTTAGAGTAGTGGTCAGTGGAAGCAATGCCATTGAGAATAATATTATAAACAATAAGCAAATCAAATATTCTTTATTTTTTGTTCACTTTCTATTTAACCTGATGTTGCATTAGTGGAAGAAACATTAGGGAAGGAATCAACAAAAGTAATCTCATGTTTATTAGATTCTACAGTTGTATTAGACGACAAAATAACAGATTTAAGTATGTTTATTAAAACAAAAATAAACCAAAATGGGCTACTATACTAGCCTAAGTCTCCCACCAACACTAACATTGCTTTACTTTTATATGCCTCAATCATGGGCTCATTTTTTTTCCCACTGCACCAAAAGAAAATTTGCAGTGGTCAATTAAAAAATTGTCATTTTATCAAATCAAAGTTCTATTCGAATATGATCCTCCTGCCAAAACAATTTCATCTAAAAAAAACTGAAAGATAATATATTAATATTTTAAAAGAAACTGCATCATTTTTTTCATACGTTGGTACTTCAGCATAATCAAATAGTTGAAGATTCGACCCGAATAAATATGCTTTTAGAGTCGATGCAGCTGCTACTGAATGTGAATAAATTCTTCACAGACTTTGGACTTAAATTGAATCAATAACATTTCTGTTTTCTCTACTAATACATTTATAAAATAAATGGGCAATCAATGATTAATAAAGACACAAAACGTCAACAAATACTACAAGCAAGTTTTAGAGATCTACTCTGTTTTACTACAAATGAAGATGAGATGTTACCACACTTGTAATCACTTTAAAAGCTACACAAGAATCAAGTCTTTGACATCATTAGAGCAATAGAAAGATCTAAGAGCTAAATGTAACCAAAAATGAAAAAGAAGAAACATCCATTGAAAGTGTAAAGATCAAAACATAGAATTCAGCAAGGAAACACATGAAACTACACAATTACAATAAAGTAAACAGAAATAACCCATCTCCTTGAAATTTTTATACTATTTTGTTGTGTTTTATACCCTTTGTTAAAGAACGGCTAATACTCCACACATTTCTTCTCCCAGTCAAATTCTTTAGCTTTTCTCAACAGCTCATCACGGCACAGTTGTATACAAAGTTAACAGACTGTTTCTTCCCAAGTAAATGCCATTGAGGTGTAGCATCACTTGGAACCCATGAGTTCAGCTCGATGAACCCTTCACCCGGAGCCTTCGGCCCACCAATCACTATCACCCGATCCCCACAAGCCCGAAACGCTAAACCCCAACCGTTCATCGAACCGGCCTGCTCAGGCAGATTCCCAACTTTTATCCAAACCCTGCTCTCCTTATCATACCTTCTAACGGCCATACCGGCATGATCAGCCGCGTAAAGCTGATCATTCACTACCGCTACAAGCGGCGGAGCCATCGCCGCCGCAGACATTCCGTTCCCCTGGTTCGACGACCTCGGCGGCGACATCTCCGGAATCTCCCTCCACTTCCTTGTCTTCAGATCAAACTCTTCCCCACAAGTCAAAACCTTTGGCTCGTTCGCTTCCCCAACACCAATCCCACCAATCACATAAAACTTGCCGTCCATGAACACACCGGAACACATTTTCCTCCGCTTGTTCATCCCCGGCAAAACCGACCAAGTCTGGTCCTCGTAGTTATACATCTCCGCGGAGTCGAGAATCCTACCGCTCGAATCGCAACCGCCCGCTAAAACCGCGATATCTCCGTAGCTAGCAGAGCCAAACAAGCATCTAGGCATGTTCATGCTCTTCCCGGTGGACCAAGAGTTAGTCAAAAGACTGTATCTATAGATTACATACGAACTCACTTCCCAACCAAACACAAGCAAGTCAGTTCCTACAGCGAGAGATTCTTTGTCTGCGTACCTGAAACACTCGTTCTGTGGCATACTCGGCAAATGCATCCACCGTTTCGATCTCGGATCAAAAGCTTCCCACTCGTTGAGATGGCAGGAGAAGTAAACCCAATGCTCGAGCGTCCCTTGCAGCCTCCTGAGCCTGTAAATCTCTCCGCTTCGGATGAGTGCGCGTAGGCTCCGACTCACTGAAGCAATGGAGCAGTAATCAGCTCGAGAGCAACGAATCAAACAGCTAATCGAATCGTCTTTGTTCATCCCTGGGATTAGCGATCCCGAATCTGAAGATCCGTTCTCTCCGTCGTCGCTCGCGGAACAGTCATCGTCTCGATTCGAGAACTCTGTGAGCTTATGAATCTTCTTGTGGCTGTGAAGATCGGTCTCGTCGTTGTTGAGGAAAGGGCGTTTGCCGGAGATCGAGAAGCTCCATTTGGTTTCTTGATGGCTTGGCATGGTGAAAAGCGTTGAAACCAGACAAGAATCTCGAGGTCGACCTTCGAACATCTTGTCGGAGAAAATCCAAAAAATCGCAATCTCAATGGGAAAAATCAAGAAACTGGTTCCTTCTTCAGATTGGATCCGAGCTTTTTAACCAAGAAGAAGCACCAAATAGATTCCATTGGCGGAAAATTTAGTCCAGAGATGTCGAATCGAAACTATGTTTCAAAATTCCAACATTCCTGCAACTACAATATAACATTCTCGTAAGAACAGCAAGAAGAAGAAAAAAAAGAAAAAAAAATTGATAACAAGAAGAAGATTTGTAAATAGAAGACGAAGGAAGACTCTGCTGGATTGATTGGATGATAGACGGAAAAAAATTAGTAACTTAAGATTTGATTTTTCTTTTGAATGATTTAAATTTAATTAACTAATGTTCTCTCTTTCTGTCTCTCTCGCCATCTGTCTAAAACTCTCAAATACCTTAAGGCTTAAGCTCCTCTGCAAAATCAGAAGAAGCAAATGGCATTTGTAGACAAACAAAAAAATCTGAGTGTTGTGCACATTTTTTTAATCTGTGTTAATAATAACTTATCAAATTATTCTGTACTGTTTAACTGTTTTAGCAAAAGAATAAATATATATTAATCAAGTTCTTTACTACATTACTGAACAGGCGTGTAATCCAATACCTTGAATCTAACCATGCTATTGCTTCAATCGTACAATATTGTTTTATAAATTAAGTACAAACTCTCTCATCACTTTTTTTTTTTGTTTACTTTCAATTTCGTCGTATACTTTTATCATCAAAAATAGTTTATAAATTGCAATCGTACTCTTTCCTTTCTTGGGACATGGTGGTGCCAAGAATGTGGATGATTTTTTTTATTGAATTAATTGCTGTAAAAAAAAATATAGAAATTTAAAAAGATTAAAGTTGGATAAGGACGAATAAAATGTAATCACCGGACGGTTGTTGTTATCCCGGCGATTGTACGACGGAGCCGCCAAGTTTTGCGGTAAAATAGAGACCCGATGTGACACGTGTCATCACCCCCCCTTCCACAAGCCTGACTTCGTCAGTTTTTTAACTTTTCTTTTACTTTTGACTCCATTAGTTAAAAAAAAGCCGGCTTATAAGAGGCTGAAATAGCCTACGGGTGAGAGTACGATACACCTGACGATGCAGGACCCTCATAGATCAATTTTAAATACCAAATATTTGAAACTGAGGGACGTTTGGTATTTTTGAATACAGCGGGATGTAACATGTATGATGTTATTGTATGGACCCTATTAGTTAACGATTGGTCATGGAGTCATGACGATGATCGTTTTACACCTAACCATTGACTTTCTTTTGGAAAAAAACATAGATCAATGGTTGGATTAATATTAAAATAAAAAGGTAAAACACTAAATTTGACTATACTAGTTTTTTTTATATATGTTCTCATGTCATGCGCATGGCGATTTCTTCTTTTCTTTTTAACATTATTGAATAATACATGGTACAATAGTTTTCAACAAACGCGGATTTCGTCTAAGACAAATTATCACAAATTCACATTCCAAATAATGTAATAAATCCAACGTCATGTTTTGTTAGCTTTTTTTTCTTCTTATTTTATGGTACGGTGGTTCTCATAAATATCAAGTTCACAGAGTAATTATAGCCAACTTGCATTTTCATCCGTGTGAGATTATGTCCATTTTTGGTTGAGTAACGATGACGATTGTATTAGCATTGTCAGATCGAAAGCTTTCCAACTTTTTTTTATAAAAGCTTTGGAGTTAAATGCATGTACTTAATGATCTTCTTAAATTTGATTATAAGACAACTATAAAGTTAAAGATGAGGGTCACACCATTTTATTAAATCGAATTGGGGTTGGGATATTGGGAAAAAAAAAGTTCTTTAACCGACAGAACTATATATGTGTTCTAATTCCAGATTTCTGTTTCTTCTTAAAAAAATTGATTTAACAACCAAATCTTCATTGAAAATTAGTATGATGAACAAATCCAGAAAAGAAATGGAGTTCAAAAACGATAGTAAATACTCATTTTATAAAAAAAAAAACCGATTATATTCATTTTCTGTTTATATTTGAATATTGATTTCAAGGAAATTATATTTAATTTATTAAAATAAGTTTAGTTCAGACCCTTTGAAGTAATTGATATAGACTAGATTTTTTTTCTTATGCATTTTTTTCCCTTTTGACATGTTTTCTGATACATTTTTTTTCCGATCATGATGACAATCCGTTATAATATAAGAGTTGAAATGAAAACATTATACTATTATGATATAAGTGGTTTTTGGGTTGGATTATTGTGACATTAGTTATCTTCCACATGTAAAATGTCACCAAGTAAATCTTAATTTAGTGATGCTTTAATTAGTGTATCTCTCCAAAACAATTTGGTCCCATTTCGATTCCCGTTTGGATAGGACTTGACGATACTCTGACGAGAAGATGCATCGGCTTCTGCCTTATACTTTACCTCTCAACCAAAAAAAAATCAAATCATGGAAGATGTTTCTATCATTCTATCGCTTTGAATCTTTGACCTCAGTCTAGTTTACTTTTAACCTTCAACATTTATTGGGAACAAGTAATAACTATGATCTAGTCAACGAGTATCAACTATGATCTAGACATTAAAAAAAAAAAGAGAATTTATCTTGGACAAGCAAAGATTGCTTTATAGGTTATCAGTACCACAAATAAAAGTGTGTTCACGACTTCGCTTTAAATCGTTGAATACAAAGTAATGGGTGTCATTTTGTACGTAAATAGAATTCAACGTTTTCATACAAAATTAGGAAATTGCTTACTCGGTTCAACACGCGTGTGGGGAGTGAGAACTGAGAAACTATAATGACAATATTAATGGTATTAGCCTATTAGGACGCAGGAAACAGAGAAAATAAATACGAAGTTAAGGAAAAATTGTCCAAAAGAGAAGAAAAGGTCAAAAAAATCAAAAATGGGACTCTTGGTTTAGTCACATGTCTGACTCAGCATCTGACTAGATTAGACTCGACGCTTAAGTTGGTGATGGCCCCATCTCATTCTAACCTATTTAAGTTTGGAAGAATGCAAGGAAAGAAATCACTAACATTTCTTACAAAAATAGAAATAGCAGTGTAAGAGATAAATGACAAAAAATGATAGATGATCATTTCATTTTTATTTTATATGAAGAAGAGGGAGAAGAACTAATAATATACCAACAGTGTTCTGTTGATCTGATTCAAAGCCTCACAATTGTAGTATTAGAACAAAGTTCAATACAAATAAAACAATCTTGTGTCATCTTTTTATATACAACAACAAATTTTGCTTATAGAGCAATAAATACTGCTAATTGTGCCAACTGTAAACATATTACATATATATACATACATGTATGTTGCCCCTACAGTTTTTTTTTTTTTTTTGAAAATAGCCCCTACAGTTTTTACGACCTTTTGTTTGTAATACATGCATTTGCTATGAATCTAATCTAAAACATCCTTTTTTTTAGTTATACAAAAGTAAGCACAGAGGATGTGGTTAATATTGAAAAATAAGAGACGTGGAGATTTAAATAAAAAATGAGAAGTAAAAAGCTAATTACTTTTCCTCACTAATTGCGGCTCGACGCACGTTTCGCTTAAAAGCAATGGACTATACGATTACAGTATAATCTCTTTTGTCCTTTTGTTTAATTTTGTTGGACATTTATACTTCTTTCGTTTTATTATTATTATTATTATTATTATTATTATTCATAGTAGATATGTTTTAGGTATCGACCAAAAAAAACTGTTACATTTTAGGTCTCAGTCAGTTGATTGATCTAAGTCAGTCTCCTAAAACCGTCAATATTTCTAAACATGTTTTACGTATAGAACTGAATGTTGAGCTTTTAAAATATTTATACTAATGTCCGAGGGACACAACATACGTTGTTAGGACTTTGGTGATTTATACTAGTGGTAACTGTGCATGGGATAATTAAAGAGTAACCAAATGTTTACACAATCGGATATGTTATAACTATAACTATGTTACGTGTCACGACTTTTGGTTATACTTTTTTTTTGTTTTGTTTTAAGTTTTAACGTTATTCATATTGAACTCACATGTTATCAATATACACACACGTCACAGATTCACAGACTGATATATGTATCACGTAAGTATATGTTCTCTCGGATGCTTAACACAGAAAGTCAGAAACAGCAAATCATTGTTACCACACACTGACACATAAATACATTACACATGTACATATATGATATATCTACACACACATACAAGCTAACAAGAATGTAAAAAAGCATAATGTAATGACGTGTCTGTACTATTTTTAGAAAATCGGAATACTTGGCGGATGAGGGGAAGAAAAGGAGTGGGCATCTTATAAAAAAATTTAGGCCAATCATTTGTTTCCCAAATTATTATCATACTAACACATTATAACTCTTTTTCACTGAATTATAACCATGTGTTCCTCAATAAAATTATTAATCTTTTCATGTCTCCTTGGTAAAATGGACAATTACTCCACTTGTACGGTATAAGCAAGAAAATTAAGTATAATACAAACAAAAAGAGTAAAATAAATGTCTCAATACTGCATATACTATTTTTTCAAGTTAAAATCTAAATTAATTTCAAGATTCATGCACAACAGATATACCAGGCATTTTTTCTTTTTCGAATAATGCAGTGTGTCAATAAGAATCTATTAATATTTGAAACGATGGAAAAGGTTTTCTTCTTTTCAAATTTCTATAAGAAACTGCAAGAAAGTTGATTTTGTGTATTCAGTTGATCTAATGAATGTGCTACTAACTAATAAGTATGTAAAATAATTAGGGGGTGGTATTGGATGATTCAATTTGATAGAATGTACAAGAATTCAAAAATAATTGATTTTTAAGTAATTTAAAGTATTTTGTAGGAATTCAAACTAATTCTATCAAAATCCTAGTAAAAATAGTAGGAATTGGTTCTGAAATACAAATGTAGAAAAAAAAAAGAGGGATCAGTATTATCAATTAGACGTCGTTTTCATAAACCACATTCGATCTCATAATTTACACGTAAATGGAAATAATCAAATTCTAACTATGATTTCTTTGTAAAATCATGTTTTAGAAAGACGTGTTGTAGTGGATACTACTCATCCGATTAATTTCTATATGTTTAATTCGTGGGATTGTATGCATCTGAAAATTGGAAGATAAGGTTGCGTCGAATTAAAAATATAAAGAAAACAATTGGATATCTTTACTAATTTCCTGAAAACAATTTGCATTTATATTTTAGCTTTTCGAAATCGATCTGTTTCCGTTGCACCGTGGAAATGTTGGGAATCGTGTTCTTCGAGGGAGCATTAACTATAGATGTTGATTGATGTAACTCAAACCTAAAATCAAAGCATGATTCTGGCCAAACCCAAATTCCAAAAACACACACACACACACACAAAAAGTAGAAGCCGAACAAATGCTTTTGTTCAAAATTCAACTCATCCAACCCCCACACGCCGTTATATTGATTGAAGCTTTACTCATTGTTTTTAACACCCAAACTGAATTACGAATCATTTGCCGACTAAAAAAGGACTTCAGGTTGTTTCTAGATAAAATTGTACTACTATCTTTTTTCTTTTCTTACTAATTCTTTTTTCCTTCAAGTTTCAACTAGTTTCAAAGCATTGTTTCAAATTTTATTTTAATTATGTCAACTAGTGACAAAGCACGGTCTCAAATTTTCAATTTTGATCGGATCATAGTTGGTCGTTTTGGACTGGATCACAATGATTCTTTCTCGGACCCTTACGTAGTTGAATAGTCAGACCGAATGCGTATCAAATTTGAATCGTTAACATAGATCCAAATCAAGATAGTTAAACCTCATATAGTCATATCCTCGAAGAATGCAAAACCAACTAATAATTATTGGATAATCTTGTTCAAAGAACATGAGAGCAAAAGAAGATGTAAGTCAATGGTCTAGCAATTCAGAATCTGTTACTTGATGTGCACACAAGCTGGAACATAAGAGCACACAAATTGGCGAAGTCGTATATATCTGCAGATCTTCTGAGACCCACTCTTGTGAAATAACCATTCTCACCAATGATGCAAGTTTTAAACATCTTCTTCACCAAAAACCACAGCTATTTTCTTATCCTCCTCAATGAAGAAACTTTTAAACCCTGAAAAGTTGGCGAGTGGCTTCATATCGTCATCCTCATTGTTTCAAGTTTCAAACGAGGATCGATGTATTGTACACGCAGATAAATTTAGGTCAAACTTCAAAAAACATCTTTTTCTTTTTTTCCTCTGTGGCTGTTTTCTTCCGTAGAGAGGAAGCTATCGCAAGATTGTTGTTATTCAAGACGCGAGACACTAAATGAACAACAATGGGCTTACTTTGAAATTAAGCTACATTGACAAAATAGTATGGGCCGTACTTGGACAAAGTTGTAAGGGCTTTAGTTAAACGAACAATGGGCCCAACTGATAAAAAAAATATCTTCCGGTTATCGTCTTCGACGGGAAGTCCCCGACGAACAGAGTTTTCACTGCCGGTGTTGACTTTAAACTCTCCTTGATATCAGATCGGCGCCAAAATCAAGACGAAAATGAGAAACACGAGAATCGTGATCTTGAGTTTGGTGTGTTTAGCCTTTCTCTCCGTAGTCAAAGCTCTTTCTCACGAACCAGAACTTGGCTCGGCTCGTGTCGTCTTCCAGGTTCATTTTCCCGTCTCCTCTTCTCTGCTATCAAAATTAGATACGATTCTGGGTAAAAGCAAGCTTCAATTGTATTTCGGACATCAAGGCTTTAGGATCAAAATTCGAAATTTCTTAATTGTGTTGTGGTTGTGGATGATGATAATGGTGTGCAGACTAGTTATGGGGATATCGAATTCGGATTCTATCCCAAGGTTGCACCCAAGACATTGGATCACATCTTCAAGCTCGTTCGTTTAGGTGGCTACAACACTAATCATATCTTCAGGGTAACATGACTTTGAAAAAAGGCTCAAGCTTTGATGTGATTTTGCATTCCCTTGGCTACAGAGGGCTAAGTGTTGAGTCATTTTGCAGGTTGATAAAGGTTTTGTTGCTCAAGTTGCAGATGTGGCCAATGGAAGATCAGCGCCAATGAATGAGGAGCAGAGGAAAGAAGCTGAGAAGAAAATTGTGGGAGAGTTTAGTGATGTCAAGCATGTGAGAGGTACTCTTTCCATGGGAAGGTAAGCATATCTTTCCTTCTCGTGTAGCTCGGTTTGTTTATCTGATATCTATCAATGTCCTTTCTTTGTGGTGTGTTCATGTCTTTTATGTAACTCATCATATCTTGAAAAAATTGCAAACAAGAGGGTAAGTCAGTGTTATTTGTTGTGATTTGCATTTTGTTGGCCAGTTTTGTAAACAAGAAGGATAAGTGTGAGTCATTTTTTTGCTCAAAACATTCTCTGTGAATGTTCTTTCTGCTTGTGTGTTCATGTCTTTATGATGAAGATCATTTCATGATGATGTTTTTGCCTCTCCGTGGTTTTTGCGTTTTCGTTTCGTAGATATGATGATCCAAACAGTGCACAATCTTCGTTTTCGATGCTTCTTGGTGATGCTCCTCATCTTGATCGCAAGGTTAGCTACCTACAGTTCTTCCATTTAGTTTCTCTTTACAGAGATGACTAATAATAAGATTGGGGTTTCTACTGTCGACAGTACGCTGTGTTTGGTAAAGTTACCAAAGGAGATGAAACATTGAGGAAGCTAGAAGAAGTTCCCACTCGCCGTGAAGGGATCTTTGTAATGGTATGTCTCCAACATAACTAGCCTTTCAAGATCGGCTTATCTTTTTTTTTTTCCGGTAGGGTCTTGTAATGGTTTCTCTTTTTACTTTCTCCTTTGCAGCCGACGGAGAGGATCACGATTTTGTCGACATACTATTACGGTAAATGCAGTCAAATCTCAACTCTACTCAAGTTGTTTGTTAGCTGAAATATTTCTGATAACTTCTTCTCCTGACGTTTGATGCTGACATGGGACACTTCAATTATGGTTAACTACAGTCCATAAAAGAGATGTGACTGTAGCCTGAATTGCTTTAATTCAGGTCATTCATGTGTCCTAAGAGATAAGAGTCTAGGATTTATAGCCTTTTTTCTACGATAGTTTATGTTTTGGATCATGATAACAAAGTTAATGTTAGAGTTAGACAACTAAGAATCTGTATTAGTACACTCTTAATCAGACAAGAAGAGATCCCTTTTACATGGAAATTCACAGGTTTAACTCTTATCCTCTTGTTCTTAGACACTGAAATGGAGAGCTGCGAAGAGGAGCGATCTGTCCTTAAAAGAAGGCTTCAAGCATCTTTTGTGGAGGTTGAAAGACAGGTGATTTGAAATGTCTATAGATAACGTTTTTGATGAGAAAGTTTGACATTTAAAATGAAAACCATAACATTTATGGTCCCTTGTGTTTTGACAGAGAATGAAGTGCTTCCCGTGAATCTACTAAGTAAGAACTCTTCAAGAAGATCAAAACGCTCAGGGAACACAAAAGGTGAATGGGTGTCTAGTAAAAAAAAAAGTTTGTTGTTAAAAACTCAGAATGCTACACATAATTTCAGATTAGTTTTTGAGTTTTAACAGTGAAAAACTGGTTGAGAACATTTGATCATGGTTTGTTTCCTTCATGGTCTGCAAAAATCTGATTCAACCGGGACAAATCCCAGGTTCTGAGCACCAAATAGTCAAATTCTGAACTAGTGAAAATAGCTCGAGAGGAAAATAGCAACAACACATGTGCTCTGTTTTTTGTGTTCTTCTTCTCTCTCTCTCTCTCTTAAAAAAAACAAGGCATGTCTCTCAATTCACACAAATAGTCTTTTTACTTTCGTTGACTTTTGTCTCTTCCTTTCTCCTCCCTTTTTGTCCTTTTCCTCTTAACTTTCATCGACTCTGTTTTGTTTTTGGTCTGAAAATCCAAACATTACTACTACCTCTTCTGCATTAAAGGAGCTGGCTTGTTATGTCTGTTGTTTAGGGTTTATTATAAAGGGTTCTTAACAAAAAAATAGACCCAAAAACTTAGGAAGGGGTCATATTATATATTTAATTAGAAGAACCAATGGGTTAAAACAAGTGTTGTGTTGGTGTGTGACAGCAGCTTTAGGTGACCCACAACAGTACTTGTTTTTGTTTAGCCCATTGGTTGCAACTTACAAAAAAAATTATTATCCAGGGTTTATTACAAATCAATTGTCTATTAGAAAATAAAATCTGGCACGTGATTTGATTCAGGTATCCATATTGTAATCAGAATCACATCGAATTCGATTCCTTTGCCAATGCATTCGCGTTGTCGGAAACTTTAAGTGAACTGGTTTGTGTTCACATGATCAGAGACTAAGCCACACAATTTTCATTTATGCAAATATTATTTAGGGGGTGCTCCAAGAGATCATAAACTTGTTAAACTATACTTTTTACGAAATTTCCCATTTGGTTATAATTGTGTGTAAGAAATATAACTTTTAAAAGTTACGATGGTTGATTTCCTTTATGTGAATTTACTCTAAATATCTTTAATAAAATCAACAAATTAATATAATCTAATTTTTAATTAATTTTTAATTTTTTAAACCTAGATTTCCAAATTCGAGTTTATATCATAAAAATATTCAGTTTACTAAAAAAGGTAACTAGCATAAATAAAGAAAAAATCTTAATTATTTTATTAAACTAATTTTAATTTATTTATTTACCCTACTAATATTTTGACTAACCTAATTGATTTATGCGACCACAAAGTAAAATCCTAAATCATTTAATTTTTTTTAAAACTCTATATATTTATTAATGCTAAGTTGATATGAAATTATGATCATTTGGTTTTGATCATTTTGGATTGCTATGTTTTTTTTTTTATGCAAACTTTGAATTTCATTAATCTTAATCTACCAATTTACATCAAAAGAAGAGAATTATTTATCATGTTTGATAAATGCAACAAAACAACAAATGATACATATAAGTTTTTATCGGATAATATAAAAGATATTAAAAAAATAAGATATAACTAATATATTTTGCTTTGTCACAAAAAACAATATACTCATGAAAATTGTATTTTTCAAATATATTAAATTTAGTTTCGAATCCATTATAAAATCTGATTTTTTAATCTATAAATAAATTTATGTTATACTTTTTAAAAAATTTAATCGAATCCCGTACCTTGTGCGGAAAAACACCTAGTTTGGTTATAATTGTGTGTAAGAAATACCACTTTTAAATCTTTTTCCCAAACTACTAGAAGTATCAAAACACCAAAAGAAATTTTGTTTTAAGAAGATTTCCTAAAGCTCTTAAAAGTCCGTTGTCACTTATAAGTTTGGAACACTTTGAAATAGAATTTTTGATTTTTGATTTTTTCCCAAATAACACATAAAGTGTGGCTTTTTTTAATAAAATTTCTCAAAACAAAATGAGGCCGAAGAGCTACATATCCAAGACGTGTGGTAAAAGTATATGTTATCTAACCAACTCTACCATGAGTACATTTATAAAATTGAAAAATTATCGGTTCACAAATAACCTTGAAAGAAGTCGAGTTGCTAAGCAAATCTCACTACGCTCTAGATCTCTGAACATTTCAATCGAGACTTTTCCTAGTGGACATTACAATATTATAGTGTATAATACTGTATATCTACATATATTATGTCCATGAAATAATTTAGAGCTCCATATGGTAATTAGAACTTTATATAGTTTCCATACGATAAATTTGACGTATACAAAACAAAATAACATGTAATGAGAAAGATTATATGTCTCGTAACAGTTGAATGAGGTAAAAAAACTAAATAAATAAATAAACAAACAAAACATAATTTGGTAACAATATGTCGCATCGTTGCCATTTTCCTGATACAATATTCATCTTCTTTATTATTTTTACTCTATTTTGTTGTGATTTGATGACAAGTAAGCAAAGAAAGAATACAACTTATCCATAAAACATTGCCATTTTCCTAATGTTCATCTTCTTTCTTATTTATACTTATTTTACTCTACATTTTGTTGTGATCTGATGAAATTTTCTCTTTTATGTCAAACCCCGATCGAACCAAAGATATTATCTTTGTTTTTTGCAGTATCATTTGTTTGGGGATTAAATGGATTTTTCATAATATTGTTTTGTGGGGCATTGCAAGTCAAAGTCATGAGATGAATATTACTCGCTTGTTTTGTATCAATGGCTTAAAATTATCTTGTTTGTTTCCAAGGATTTGAATAACTACAGGTTTATTTATTTATTTTTTGTTTTCTAACGTATTTTGTATTAGAGTATTGGCCAAATAGTTATGGCTGAGTACAAAAATACATTGTTATACCTTCAGATATTATCTGACGACTTTTATAAATTTATTTATTACATATATCGGTGATAAATTCCAACAATTAATATAACATTGCAATGTGTACACATCAATGTATCGAGAAATTTGTACAGAAATTGGATTTTATGAGAGGACAACAGTGGCAGAACATCACATGAGGCTTCATACGCCCTACCTTTCTATATCATTTTTGTTTTCATAAAAATTGTAAGAGCCTTGTGGGTTTCGGACAAATGTTCATGTTTGGATCGGTCAGATAAATTTGTAAACATGTTAATATTTGCTCAGATCGCCAAATGTTAAAATTTGGTATGAGTATATCTGTTTTGGTCAGCTTCAAATGTACTCTTCACTTCAATGCTTCTCTGCATCACATTTATCAAAGTAATACTCCTTCTATTTGTTAATAATAAATGTTTTAGAAAAAATATTTATTTCAAAAATTAGCTAAAGTTTTCTGTTTCCTAAGTATACCTTTTGTTCTTTCTTTTATTTATCATTATTATTTTAATTATATAAAGGAAAAACTAGAATACTAATAAATAAATAAAAACTAAAATTGTAATTACAAATAAATTTTAAAATATATGTGAAAAACCTAACACATTCTTTGCTTACTATTACAGAGAGCGTTTATAATATAGGACCAATTATGTTTTATTCTTGATTTTAGCGAAAATCTTGCAACACATTTCTTTGCTTACTATTACAGAGAGCGTTTATAATATAGGACCAATTATGTTTTATTCTTGCTTTTAACGAAAATCTTGCAACACATTTCTTTGCTTACTATTTAGTATAATAGAATCATAGTTTAAAATCAATTTATTAATGTGAAAACTAATAGGATGCTAAGAATTTGAAAAATGGTCAAATGAGTTTTTTTAAAAAACGAATACTAACTTATTTCTATACTATAATTGATTTTCTAAGTTTTAGATTCATAATATATCTTTGAACCAAAACCAGAGCATACCGCAAAACTATTGTAAGTATAGTTCTTTCTTCTGAGACAAACCTCTCATCAATCTATGAGCAATATGTCTCAAGGTTTGAAGTGGGACTCTGCATGCGGACAAACTACCAATACAACCTCTTAAACTGATTGCTTTGGTAAGTGTATGATTTTATGAATCTATGTTAAAAATGCTTCTTTTCTTGTATATATGTGGTTGGCGAAGAGTCAAGTTTGAGCGATCTCATTTCACTACGAGAGATCAACTATAATCAATTCTAGATTTCATATAACTTAATCATACTATCAAGTAGAACGCAATCGGATTCGATCTCGAGGAATCCTGATCCTACCTACATCCAAATTTGTTATATTGTAGGCCAGGAAGGTGCCACATACAAACACACGTATTCGTACAATAACATTTCTTAATAATATTTAATTAAACAAGATTAGGGAGAATCTCTGCGTCATCCGAACTCCAAGAACGTTGTTAAGTAATAATAATCAGTAAATCTCTGGAACATCGTCGTCCTTATACTGTTCCACAAGTAATTGAATATACTTAAATATGCTCCCATCTATGTAGATGCATTAAATTATAATTTATTTAATTTTTTGTTTGTAAATGAAAGAAAAAACAGAGATTGCGAGACAACACATGCCATGTTTTAAAATCTCGGGGATGGGTTGGTTTTATCGTTATATGTCTTTGACCGTCAACAATGTGTGGCTCTTCGAATCGTTTTTAACCTTTTAACCCATACTATGAAATGTCCGCAACTAATTTACTTGTGACGTGATAAGCATCTTTCTCATTAAAATCTTGACATTGGTCGGTCTAGGGTTTGCCACAAACAGATAACCTATTCAGAAATACTACACATGTTTTAAGAAATCAGTACTACTAGTATATAGCTAGCTAGCTAGCTAGTAGTAGTCAGTTAATTAACTTTATAAGTTCATATTTATTCGAGGCATGGTTTTTTTTCTAAATATATATTTTCAGTAGAAAAAGGACTATAATATTTGTGGGTTTTAATGACGTAATTAAAGTCAGCAAAAACGGCATAAAATTAACAGATGGGGAGGTTCCTAATTAATAGGAAAGCTACTGATCTCGGACTGCGTGTAAGGGTAGGTCTCATTAATAGCATATGCATGTTGTATTCACTCCGCCGGAATTAACCGCATTATTCTTTTAGCTTACTGTTCCAATTAAACCCTCAAGTTTCGTGTGATTTCTCTGACTTGGACGAATCATATTGTCTAAATCTATGTCCAATTTCTTTTCGTGTAGCTTTAAATGTGTGTTTCATCAATGTATTTTAGGTTACATGTGTGTATCAATGTGTATATATCCGAATCTGAACCAAAATGGTCGTCGTCGCTTCCAATTGGATGATTCTTTTCATAGTAATCCAAGATGTTGATTTAGGTTTTCGTACGAGTAATATGTCTTGTAGCTTTTGGGGTTATTGTCAAAGCAAACATGTACATACTAATTTTCAAACTGAATTGATGATGATAAACCAAAATCAAATTAAGCCAACATAAATCCAATTAATAAGACAAAAATACATATTTCCATTTTTTAGCTAAACGTTATTATGCACATTAATACCAATTAAGGTTATTAAACTGCTTGTTTATATTTGTGGACTTCATACCACATGATCAACCGAAATATCAACAAATCGACTCCAATTGAAAATCAAACCACCCAACTCTACATCTACCACATGATCATTCATAAGTTAGATTTTATGGAAGGTAATTTTGAAAAATCAGAGTTCTCAAGTGTCCAAATATGATCCGTATTTTGGCTTCAACATTTTTGGTTTTTTCTTGTACTATATATATGTCCTACACTCTTTTGATGATATAGACTACCACACTAAAGAAAAACAAAATTAATTATAAGATCAATATTATAAATTACCGTAAATTTTATTTATTGTGTGTTTGTCTTCAGCTATAAACATCACAGAAGTCATATTTTTTTCTCCATGTATATAAATGTTACATCAAAACATAGTTTATATGTGACCCAAAACCATTGAAATTCACATAAATAAATCTAAGAGATTGAAATAAGAAAAAAAAAAAAAGGTTAAAAGAGAAGAAATAAGTGATTAAAAAAGGGACAAGGGAGTAATACATATAACGTGGGGGTGCAATGGTGAGACTGACAGAGAGAGAAGGCAAAGAGGGACAGTTTAGTTTGGCGATAAACACACATTTTGCCATTTTAAACCCCACTTGATCCCTCTTCTCCTTTCCATGGCCCTCTCTCCTTTTCTACGTCACTTTCCCTTCTTATTTTAATTCTTTGTTTTTTCTCATTTGTTTATTCTACTCGGATGCGTAGAGCCAAAACTGTTGCAATGAGTTAATTCTACTTGGCCCGATTATGGAAGGCTCTGTAGCACCGTTGACAGACTTTGGTTTGGTTTTGAATCAAATCGAGTGCGGATCAGTCATGGTTAAGTTAAATAATACCAAGTAAAATGGGTTTAACCGGTTTGATCCGGACTGATTTGGTCCTATATGGATTGGAAAAATATGGCTTTTTTTTAGGCAGCGGATAAAGATGGCCTAAGCCATCTGATTATAAGTGTATATATGTTTACTATAACATCTCTATATAGCTCATATGTATCGTATGTACTAGATATTTGGATCGCCGGCACAACCAACATCATATGGGGTCCTAGTGTGAGCAATTTTTTTTCCATTTCTTTTCAATATAGTTGGGCAATTTTGGTAACAAATTTATCACAACCACATAATCAGATGGACTACAAAAAATATTTGGTAATTTTTTTTTTTTTAATCATAAACACTCAATAAGAATGGTGGCCTGAAATAATAAATGTTTGCACATAATATGGAACCACATCTTAGTGCATTAACCCTTATCCGTATATTGGTTACTCATGTGTTCAATATTGAGAAAAAGGAAGCATGTAGCTTTGAATTTCCAATTATGGTTGTCAAGTTGAAATTGATACTATACCATGTGAATTGCTCTGTAGAAAGAAGGTTCAGTGGAACAGGAATAAGAGAGAAACAAAATTCGACGTGGTTGTGTTTTACACATGTAACAATCAAGACGTTGGTCTCGTGAGAAAGTAAATTTAGAAGCTTACCCAAAATAAACAGTATCTTTTTGTACTAAGCGATAATGAAAAAAAACTGAGATCAAATAATAATAAATAGTTGATAGCTAAATACACTCTTATTAAAGAAACATAACCCACACCCTCCCTTCATGCACTTGTCTCTTCTTCATTTTCTCCTTCTTCTTCTTCCTCTGCTTCGTCATATTCTCTCTCTTCATAAATTTGCATTATAAAAACACATCCACTTTGCTCCTCCCTCTTCAACACATTCTTCTTCTTCTCCACTCTTATTCTCTCTCTCTCTCTCTCTGACACATTAACTACCTATCCTTCCTGCATTCCTCTCTCTCCCTATCTCTCTACAAACCAACGAAGACAATAATATCTTAAGAAAGAAGATGTCGAGCAGGAGATCATCACGTTCAAGACAGTCAGGGAGCTCAAGAATCTCTGACGATCAGATTTCTGATCTTGTTTCGAAGCTCCAACACCTCATCCCTGAACTCCGCCGCCGTCGTTCTGACAAGGTATATACTTCAAAAACCCATTTTTAATTCTATCTTTCTTGCAAGTACATACATACATCTGTTCCTTGTTTGTGCGGATTAGTGGATATATAGTTAAGTTAGCACATGGACTTAGAAAGTTCAAATGAATTGGAACCATTTGGTATATAACTAATAAATATGCATGGTGAAATCCAACGGCCTGTAGTGTAAATACATGTGGCCTACAATTATCTATCCGTAGATAAAGTAACATTAATTCACAGCCTCATTTATGCATATATCTTTTTTGTTCCTTTGAATGTTTTTTATGCATTTAAATTCACAAGTTGGTGGTGTGGGACTCGGTTTGTTCCCTTCCTACTTCCACGTACCTTAACTCCATGTCTCCTCATTACTCTTCTCTACCTATATACTCACCATAATTCTATATATAGATGAGGAATAGGATTTAATAAATAGTGGCCGTTTATACCGTTGTGCACATTGAAGTGGTAATCATGAGAGTTTCTTTCTACTTATTAGTTTTTGGAGATATATATGAAAATTGTTATATAGGATAACAAAGCAGTCGCACATGTTGTCATGTACTCTTTGTGAGGATCTAAATCATCGGTATTTTGTACTTTTAGTTAATAATATTTCTAATAAATGGGCAGGTGTCAGCATCTAAGGTACTACAAGAGACTTGCAACTACATCAGGAACTTACACAGAGAGGTTGATGATCTCAGTGACCGTTTGTCGGAACTCTTGGCTTCGACGGACGACAACAGCGCCGAAGCAGCCATCATTAGGAGCTTGCTTAATTATTAAAATTTCTCATTAATTTAATCTGAGAACTATTAATCATCGATTTCCGCCAGAAAATTTATCTTCTTATTATGAGTATTTGTTTCCTTCTACTTCATATATTATATGATATATAGCTAGGGTTTCGGGGTCTTTGTTAGGCCAACTCATATATTTATATAATATATGCTTTATGTATGTATGCATCTTAATTGTATGTGAGGATCCAGACCTGGCTGTATAGTAGCCTGTGTATCATGAGATCCTCTAATATTTATGATTAATGACACAGTTTGTTTCCTTTTTTTTTTGTTATACTAGTGATCAACTGTTATAAACTTTCGTTTTGAATTTATATGTGTGTGTTTGTTTTTCATGCAAATAAATATAGTTCGGGTTCGAAGTACATGCATATACAATATAAAAACGTGGAGAAGTTGTGGTTGAATTTAAATTGTTTAAAATATGATAGAAACCGACGAAGACCTCGATGTTTTCGAGGTCCTTTAGTTTGGATTATCTGATTTTAAATATTATCTATGGTGTATGGTATGGTCGTGCCACTTTATTTAAACATCTTGCATGTGATCATTAATTAATGCGTGATCTTCTTCGTGTATTATAGATTTATAACACCTAGTATCTTTTTTTTGTTGCTAAAACTAAAAGGCTTGATTATACCTATTGACTCGATAACTACGGTAATAGCGTGGTTCTCTTAAGAGAATTTATTTTTATCATATAAACATGTATATATATAAATATAATAAAAGTTCAAAAAAAGCATGTATAATGTATATATATATATATATATAATATCTGTCTGATCTATACGATTGCATGCTTTGAAACTTTATTAAATGAAATTTCATATCTCGCTGATGTTGTGTTTTTTTTTTTTTTACCAAAACTGATATTGCGAGATACGAAAAGCATATTCAAATTCATACGGTATTTTTTGTTTTTTTGACCAAATTGCATACGGTATCTTCGTACTTAGAAAGAAATTACAGGCGCAAAAAGTTAAAAATAATTTGATATATACAGGCGGAAAATGTTAAAAATTTTCATGCATATATTTTTGTTAAAGATAATCGTCTGCATGCATAGTCATGCATATATATGTATCAATTCTCTTTTTCTATTTTTTTTTTGTCACTGATTATTTTTATAAATGAGAACAAAATTACGTGCTGGTGTGGTGTTAGTGTACATATATTTTATAAGAATTGAAAAACACAATTAAAATGACTTGAAGAAATGTGATAATGTGATACACGTTCATGAGATGGTATTGGTAAGTGATAATAATTTTATAATGATATAATCTTTAAAAATCTTCACTGTTTCAGAAATACTCACTATTTCAAAATGATATTCTAATTCAAAATGATATTTCTGTTTTGAATGATAGATGTCTAAAAAATTGTTAAAAGAAATTATATGTTTTTCGTTTTCAAGATGTAGTTGTTATTTAGTATTTTTTACTTACCTTACTCTTATATTATTTATTATTATTTTATTTTTTTAACTAATCTGTTAATAATAGCAAATTGAATAATTGTCATTTGTGGTCGTATATTTTTACTATACCCGTTACCATAATGTGTTTTTTTATTAGGTAACTTTTCATTTTTAAACTGCTTATACTTTATAAATGCTGAGTTTATATCTCCGAGAGTTCCAACTTCCAAAGGCCTTTTGTTAATTCGTTTTAATACCTAATGGAAAATGTGAACCTAAATCGTAAGGAACAAAAGATCAGGAAGAAGCAGAAAAAACGCTGAGTTTATATCTCCGAGACTTAAGGGAAAGCCCCACTTAAGCAGAATCACACGACGCATGCAGATTGCTGGCGAGATTTTTGAATACACATTAACCAATAGTAAACTTCAGCCTATTAGTTATTGCGTTTATCCAATTGTCAACATATTTTGGTTGATTGTTGAACGGACATCATAAGTCAAATTCTTTCATGTTTTCATTCGTACATTTGCGTTTTTACTTCAATGTTATGATGAATTGATGATTATCACAACATAGAAACACAAACCTAAACGTAAAGAACAACCGGAGCGGTAACTGTTTGATTTTAATTTTAGTATCACAAAACAAAAACTCGAAATATAATCGCATTGCTTAACATCTTTGCTAACGCTCTCCATCAGTTGACAGTTAAGTATATAATATAAAAATATGTGGGAGCTAAAGAACTACCTAGTTTTATAACACACCAGTTTCACTCTAAAATAAAATATTTGGTGAATAACTAAGTTTTTTTATTTATATAATTTACTAACTAACTAATCTCTTTCTCTATCTTTTCCAAAAAGCTTCATAACTGGGATCAAAGACAATAAAAAAAAATCCAAAAAGGAGAAACTGGCCTCACGTATAAATGGGCCTTGTGTCGAAACACAGTCTGCAGTGATGGATCCGAACTCTTGCTCCCCGAAAGACTTTATTTACCTACCAGCTACCATAGAGAAAAAGGTCATGTTCTTTTTATAAAAGGAGATTTTAAAAGAAGAAGTCTAATCATATCATAGGCTAGTGAGAATCACCATGCAAATGCTTCTTGACGACAAAACCACAAGTTTTAGTCAAGATTCAAAACAAAATTCTACTACTTTGAAAATACCTTAGTGATTTTTAGTTTTAGGCTTTTAGCTAAATTACGTGGTATATTCTACCAGCCCTACAAAATAATTTATTTTATCTTTCACAGCTGTTGGTTTCCATAGTAAACTGGATTCCACCAACCATTTGGAGACCAACGATAACTACAAAATACTCTTCTTTAGAGGTGATTATATAAAGAAAGTTATAAAATTATATGGGCAACCTTTCAACTTTCAAGTCGAATATACAAACCTAATTATAATTAAAAATATATTTTTTTTTTTATAAAATTGTAGCAGGGATGTCGAATCAGGAAAAAACACTCGTCTCTTATATAAAGATTTAAGCACCAAAATATTTGACATAATAAAAGTATTTTACTTCCTGATCCAAAATACTCAAATGCCGGTTTTCCAATTTTTTAGGGAGATGCTATAAATCATTCCATTTTCACGATGAATATGATTCACTCGTAGAGGGTGAACTCGATTGACATTTCTTGAACGTACTTTTCTATTATAAAACACGCATATATCCAACATAAAAAGGGTTTATTGATTTCTTTGAAAATTCAATCATAATTTTGACTACTTTGCAAATTCAATCATATCTAGTTATTTGGTAATATTAGAACTCCGATACATAGTAGAATTACCTAACAGAAATTCTGAATTAAAAAAAATACAATCCCATATCCTCCCCTCGAAAAAATAATTACAATCATTGGTTCATCTCTCTCTGAGCTTTCAAGTCTTGTCTCATATTTTATATACTCTTATAATGTTATAATAAAGAAATAAAACCATACTTCTAGCCTAGCTATTAGCCTATAAGTGGTGTATAGTCTGACCCGATTCATTTCACCAGAGCAGCCTTCTTCTTCTTCTTTATTCCTGTTCTCCTTCTTCAATCTTCGGACTCTCCTGGTTATCTCAATAACGTTTCAGATTCTGGGATCTCTACTCTGAACAGAGACAAGGTGGAGAAAGAAGAAACGATCAAAGATTAAGACTCAACAGAGAGAGAGATGTCTTGTAATAATGGCTTAGCTTTCTTCCCTGCAAATTTCAGTCTACAAAACCATCACCAAGAAGAAGAAGAAGATCATCATCCTCAATCTCTTCTTCCTTCTTGCACTCTACCTCAAGACTTCCATGGTACCTCACATTCACACCTTTTTCAAAAAAATTCTACTTCTCTCAATTTTTCTCACGATCTGCTCTGTTTTCAGGGTTTCTTGGCAAGAGATCTCCAATGGCGAACGTAGAAGGGTTTTGTAACTTAGAGATGAACGGAGATGAAGAATTCTCAGACGATGGATCTAAGATGGGAGAGAAGAAGAGGAGATTGAACATGGAGCAATTGAAGACGCTAGAGAAGAACTTCGAGCTCGGTAACAAACTCGAATCAGATCGAAAACTAGAGCTGGCTCGTGCCTTGGGATTGCAACCTCGACAAATCGCAATTTGGTTCCAAAACAGAAGGGCTCGATCCAAAACCAAACAGCTCGAGAGAGACTACGATGCGCTCAAGCGTGAATTCGAGAGTCTCAAAGACGAGAACGAAACCCTTCAAACTCAAAATCAAAAGCTTCAGGCTCAGGTAAAAAAAAAAAGAACAAATCTTTCTTTTCAAGTTCGAATTTCATAAAAATTGAATCTTTTTATTTTCTGGTTAGATGGAAACTCTCTCCGCATTTGAACAGTACTCTGTTTTTCATCTGGATCCAAAACTTTGCTCTGTTTTTACTGAACCCACATTGTAACAGTACTCTGTTTTTTTTTTCATCTAGTTTTAAAACTCTGCTCTATTTTCCTTGCTCTCTCAGTTTCGAATTTCATAAAAATGAAATCTTTTTTTTTTTTTTGCAGGTAATGGCATTGAAAAGCAGAGAACCAATAGAATCAATCAATCTGAACAAAGAAACAGAAGGTTCATGTAGTAACCGAAGTGAGAACATCTCAGGTGACATCAGACCGCCAGAAATCAACAGCCAATTCGCCGGAGGCCATCCACCGTCTTCACCGACAACTACAACGATGCAGTTTTTTCAGAATTCGTCGTCAGAACAGAGAATGGTGAAAGAAGAGAACAGTATCAGCAACATGTTCTGTGGAATCGATGACCAGTCTAGTTTTTGGCCATGGCTTGACCAGCAACATTACAATTGAAATGTGGTCGACCTTTTTTTTTTTTGTTAATCAAATTTTCATATTTTCGGTTTTTAAGTGGTCACTCAAAACGAATCCATTAATGTTTCGAGACTCTATAATTTACACCAAATAAGCAATACACCACACTAGTTTTTTTTTTTGGGTAACGTAACGAGATGTAAAAAAAATGGGGCCATATTCGATATTCATCGTATGATAATATTTAAATAATTAATCGTATGGGGCCAATGATTAGACACTAAAAAAGTCTGAACCATGTGGCTGTACGTCGGACAACTCATATCCAGAAACGCTAAGAAAGTAAAAAAGGTTTAAAAAAACCCAAAAAGACTTTTCCATGAAACAAATTATGCATGTCATCATAAGTCAGTCTATGATCGGTTAAAAAAACACAAACGATAAATGACATAATCTTAAGTTATAGTATAGTGTAGTATTTTCTACACGTTGATGGTTATTATTTCTGTAGCACAATTTACATTTACGTCGGTAACACATGTTCTATTAAACTGTAGAAGCAATTTTATTAAAAAAAAAAAAGGTGTGAAAAGAGTAAGTAAAAAGTATTAACATTCAGATTCCGAGGAGAGGATGCAGACAAATAGGGTTGGAAAGTGGCCATTCTCTTTTCTGAAAATGGACCCAACACTTTTTACCCTTTCACCTACACTGACACTGCCCGATGACTCTAAGGACTCCATTTTTTTCTTGTTTCTAAACGTCAAGGACTCCATATTTTTCTTGCTTCTAAACATAATTCAAAATAAAGCAATTACAAAAATCTTACGATAAATATATGGGAAAAACCTTTTCAGAGAGAAATCCGGTAGTGAGTACATAGATTATGGTATTTGTAACTAAAATTTATTACTATAACTTGGAATTATAAGTTTTTCAAGTAAAATCGTACTAGTATAAACAAAGACTAAAAATAGTAATATTAAGTACGAGTTCTATAGTATTAACAATGACTAGTCCTATAAACTATGGAAAATACGAGTTAAAATGAATTGCATGGCTTAAAAAAAGTTGTGGAAAATGTAAAAAGGTGATTAGAGTTTCGTTGTTGTCAAAACAAAACGAGTAGAATTTCATTAATGATTAGTTTACGGGATGTGTTAAAATATTGATTAGGGAACAAGAAAGCGACAGAATCTGAAAGCCAAAGGGATTACCTTCGTATTTAAACGGTGACAACTAAATGCCGAGGGAGATCAAGCTAGTAAAATGCGCCATTATGGATAGTTAATTCAAGAATCTTCATGGGATCATGTGCCTTGTCTTAATCTAATATTTCCAGCTTCACTGCAAAGATCTTATAATATTCTCTCATACGCAAATTTATACTATATATTTTGGATTTTTTTAGCAGTTCTACATATGCCAACACGTATTTCCACTCCTCTAAGAACAAAATTATTTAAATTAAACTTATTTTATCTCTAGTACGCTAACCAAATTAAGAATTACCTGTAAAGAAGAGCTAGGTATGTGGCCATGTGCGTGAAGGTTTAGTTCACTAATTAAATACTCGTTTCCAATGGAAAAGCGGGTCAGAAACTACATAAAGTAGAATAAGGTAAAGAGTACAGTTTCTTGTTTTTATTTTATTTTATTTACTACCATTTGTTGTTATACACCATCAGGAAATTTATGCGGAAATTATTTAACTAGTTATTCGATGGAATGTTATAGTTCAGTCGTTTACTATAATTTGCAGTGACAATTTACACATAATTTAGTTTTGTACTGAGGCCTAGAAATTTATAAATACTGCATAATTTAGTGGTTCGAGAGGGTGATACTTTATAGTTGGATCTTAGATTGAAATCTAGATTTATGTGTAAGATATGCATATGTTCATTTTTTGTAATGTTTTTTGAAAAGTGTATTAAGTAAAACTAATTTTTATGGACAAAAAAGAGAGGAAGAATGTGGAAAAAAGGATACCGACTAACAAATTGATTACGATTTCCTTTCATATGTTGTAGCAGATTTTGGAATGTTTGAAAAAAGAAAAGGCAAGACCAAGACGATTATATGCATATGTATGCATTATGATATGTATAATTAATTAATACAAATCTGTTTTAATTTAGCCTCATTTTATTTCGCAACAAGGATAATTTCTTGCAAAAACTGAAAATGAATAGCATATGAAAAAAGGAAAAAAAGAAAAAGAGGAGAGATGGGATTGGGATGCATGTGACTGCAATGACATGAAGATAGTGGTTCGATGTTTTGGATTTTGTTTAAAGAGTTGGCAAATGATCATTCGTTGCCATTTCACATTGCAATGCACTTTCATAGTATTTTTCTTAGTGAAAAAAAAAAAATAGTATTTTTCTTTTGTCAATGGTGGAAATTAGAAACCGACTTTCGCAACGACACACATGCCGGGACCAAGTTGGACTTTAGAAACCGACTTGCTCGACGTGTCTTTTCATTTTGCGAGTACGTGAATACATAATCAATTCCTTATTCCCTTCAAATTATGAAATCTCCACAAAACCATTAAGAGTAAAAAATCCAAATAGTTCGATGCATATATACGATCAGTATGTAAATATGCTTCGGAAAATATCTTAAATAGTGATAGAAATATTTTATCTTTTAACTAATTTATCTATAAAGTTATGATACATAGTTCTCTGATTTACAAATACTATACATTTGTCATAAATTTGATATATATATCACTTACCAAATTTCACTAATGAGCGTGTCGGGTATCAGCTACACATATAGGGCCAGTTCCAGATTAATAGGGCTAGTAGGGGAATTTTTTTTTTTTTTTGAATTAATGAAAATTAGGATTGTTGACATTTTCCGTTTGAAAATAATATATAAGTTTAGAGACCTTCGTTGTAGTTCGACCTTCAAAAATCAGGGATGTGGTCCAAAAAATCTGAGCTCGAAATAGGTTGGCCATTGTAGTCAAAGACCGCTCATTCTAAGACAATTTCATCATCTATGTTCTTTTACATGTTGGTTTGCTTATGATAATGTTTGAAAAAGCTCATGGAAGAACACACTATCGTTCTTGTGGTTCTAAGATCGAGATTGGTTGAATATTTGAAAGAAAAAAATGTAATGAATGGTTTTATCTTAATGAAAACGTTGCAACGGTAGAAGTCTCAACACACATCATTGTAGCTAGTTAACCAAATGTAAAACAATGATTTTAGACTGAGGAAGAGTGAAAATTGAATTGAAAAGAAGACAATTTAAAGTTTGAACCAAGGTAGGTTTTGAATTGTAGGCTAATTTTTAGGAAAATAAGGTTAAAATAATGGATTAGGCTTATTAAAGCCCAATGTACACTCCGAACTATGAAGGCAGATAATAGGTTGAATTCATGATGCTGCATGATCTTATATTATGATTGTTGTTGAGGCAATGACCAATTCCCGAGAAAAAATTACATTTTAAGGTACTTTTAGAAATTTGAATTACAAATTAAGGCACTTAAAAGGAAAGATGCACTTTCATCATGCGAAATGACCATTTTATCTTTTTCATACAAAATCAAATGTTCAGAACCGCTAGACTACGTGGATGAATTTTTGTGGATAACCATAACACATCATAATCAATCTTCGTGGATGAATTTTCGTGGATGACTTCAAACGTTCACTAGACTGGTTTGAGATCGATGAAGCTCATGCACACGTGGATGACCTTTCATGGACAATCAAATATGTATTATTTAAATTTGTCTATCCATTTTGCATGTCTTTCTTTGATAAACCTTCACGGACATCTAAATATGACTTTGTATATCTATTTTGCACATTTTTGTGAATGAACTCTGTGAAACTTGTATATTTTAACAAATGACTAAAATATTTCGACCACGTAGATGAACATATGTGGACAATTTCATACTTTCACTAGACTAGTTTGAGATCAATAAAGTTCATGCTCACATGGATGACCCTTCATGGACAGCCAAACATGTATTGTTTGAATTTGTCTATCCATATTGCATGTCTTTCGTGGATGAACCTTCGTGGACAGCTAAATATGATTTTGTATATCCATTTTGCTTATCTTTTATGGATGAACTCTGTGAAACTTATATACTATAACAAATGACTAAAATATGCCGACCACGTGGATGAACATATGTGGACAACTATAAGTAAAGAAAAAGGGCAAAATCGGATTAACATATTATGAACAGTTGCCAAAGTACCTCTTCCCCAAAAAGTGTCTTTTTCTATAACCAAAACTCACAAAATGCCTCATTATAACGAGAACCGACCTTACACGTTTATTCCTCTCAGAGACACATGTTTCCATTTCAATTAAGACCCACAAATGCATTTTTCACGTGTTAGTTTTTTTAATCATAACAATTTATTTGGTTACATATTAAAATATACAACGTGAAATACAAGAAATAAAGTTGTACAACGTATCTGGTTCTGCTGAAGCTTCTGTTTCGCTGACCACTAGTTTGCGAGTTCAAATTGGGTGCAAAAGAAACAATCCATTCAATAATTTCTTTGACTGCTTTTGGGGAAAATGGGGAATACCAAAACCAATGGCTGAAGAAGAGTATAATGCAGGTGAAGAGCGCCAACTTGTAAGTCATCTTGTTTCCTTATTTGGTTTTTGTGTGTTTTGTTCATAGAATGTTGGTTATCTAAACCTTTCTATACAGAAACTAGATGCTGAAGAACCCAAACGCCAAGATGACATCCTCTCTTATCTTAAAAAACTCTTCAAAGAAGTAAGTTTGCTTTCTCCATGATTACTTGTGTTTTATTGGGGAAGGGTAAAAAGAAGGAAAAGCTCTCAGATAAGCTCTCTGCAAGAGCTGAGAAGGTAAGAGCAATAGAGAAGAAGAAAGTTCAAGAGCAGAAAGACTGTGTACACGAAGGCATCAAGAAGACTTAGAATACTCAAACTTGAGATTCTTATAAGGAGGGATATTCAGACTCTGTCTTTTGATGAATTGTTTTTTCATTTTTGGTTTGTTTGGAAACTTCTATAGTATCGTGTCTTTTGATGAATTGTTTTTTCATTTTTGGTTTGTTTGGAAACTTCTATAGTATCGTATGCGAACACGAAACAACAAAATAACATAAAAAATAATCTCCCTTGATTTTATTTTGTAATCAACCAAAACTTTATTGAAGTTAAACTTGATTTTGAATTAAAC